AAGAGATGGCAAGCACCGCATCATGCACCGCCAGGAATTCTAACAAGGGTTGCCTCATGAGGTGCAGAAATTGCAGCGAAAAGACCTGCACGTCCCTACATCCCTTTGGATTGAAATGGATGGAACCTGCATTGCGCTGCACTCTGGTCTCCCAGTGACCAAAAGCCCCACTCATCATGACCTCCATCTCCACTTGCTGTAAAAAACAAAAAGCTGTATTGTATGTGCTAGTAGGTTGGAGGCCTTTGCTAGTAGGTTGGACTGTTTCCTGGTTTTGCAGAGCCGCCAGCCGCTTTGGACTTCAAAGACCAGGAAGCGCTTTGAAGAGACGTTCTGTTCCAGCCTCAAACGAACTTGCCGATGCAAAGAAACCCAGTCCTTCAAGTTGGCCGATCTCCGAGGTTGGAAATTCAATCATGCCAAGCACGCGCAGCCTTCTGAAAAACAACGATCGTGTTATTGAAATGTAGAATGAACTTGACTTGAATAGATGGATGTCAAGTTGACTCACTCAGCTCCTCTCGCTTCTCAGCTGCGAAGGCAGGAAGACTGGTGACAATCTCAAACCAAGGGAGTGGTCGCCAAATGTGATCAGGATAGCTGGGAAAAGGCCAGTCGAAGTCCCAAAGCACCTAGTCAGAACTGGTCGGAACACACATCGACTTGGCCATTTGAGGGAATGCAAAAAGCTCCAAAGACTTGAGCAGTCTGGCCTTCAGCAGCTGCTGGTTGAACTTCAAATCCAGCAACCAGTTCCACGGTCTCACGACCAACGGCGACAGGATATCATTCATGTTGGCCCAAGAAGTCACCCATTCTTCATCTCGCCTTCGAACATGTCATCGATGAACTCCCCCATCAGTTCCGATGAACTATAGTATCTGTATTGAACACACCTAGACCCAGTCTGTTCTACACGTGAAAATTTGATATCTGTTACCCAGCTACCTTTCCATCGTGAGGTTCTGGCAGGGTTGCACAGCAAAACAACTTGTCTTCCTGTCTTCCCATTCTTTTTCAAGCTAAAAGCGTCTGGAGCACAAACAAAGTAAACAAATCTTCTTCCCAATCATCATAGGAGCAAGGACGCTACTAGGGGCTCCTGGCATCGCTACTAGGAGCAAGGACACTACTCTTGTCATGTGATACGATGGCGGTTTCTTGAATACCTCTTCTGACCCTAGCCTTCATAATGCCCCATCATCAGGTCAGTCCCGCACACATCTCCGTCACAAAAACTAACTACTGAAATACTCCTACATGGCACAACAGGGTCCCCAGATTGAACTTGGACTCTGCCCGACACCTTCAATGGACCCTATGAAGTGCGCTCAAAACTTGGATTTCATCGCACTTGATTCAGAATGAGGGGAAAACAAGGTGTGCGCAAGTGCAGGCCTCACAGTCATGATGACCTTGGTGGAAGGCCGCGTTTCAGCTATTTCAGAAGCAAACAGATTCATGGGGAAGTCCATCGTGGCGGTGTAACCTCAATACACTGCAGCCTCCACCCTCATACCTGCATGTTAATGTTTGAGCTAGCTCAATTCATTGCCTGGAATACAACGACTATGACCTTGCTGTTGCGCAAACTCAGCTGAAAACCGGTTAGCATTATATAGATAATTTCATTGCACTGCTTTCTAGTCCAAGGATGGTTGACAAATTAAATTGCACTAGCTTGCTTGTCAGCTAATAAGCGATGGCCTCCAATCTAACAGCAATAGATTGTGTATGTCTGCTTTCTAGGTGCCCAAGTCTTCCAGCATTGAAAGCATCTGCTCCAAACGGCTGCGATTTCCATCTCGCAACTCTTTGGCCGTCGCAATCCAGGCAGATGCCTCAGCGACGCAACGCTTGGAAAAGAGGCGCTGTAGCGAACGCAACAGTATGCACTGAGTCTCCAGTTCTGAGTGGCTGTCGCTGGGTCACTCAGAGTCGTTGTAGTTTTTTGAGAAGCACAACAGCTGTGGGATGCTTCTCTTTGAATTTTCGAAGCAGTGTGTGTGTGTGTGTCTGTCAACTCCTGTCCCAAAGAGGATGTACAGACTTGCAGGGGGTCCAGGCAGTTGTGAGTTGGCCCTGGACCAACGAAGACGGACTCACAACTGGTGAAGCGAGAAGGGGCGCCTTCTCGTGTACCTGCAATTTTAACACACCATAAAGGGCTAATGAGCTTCCTCCGTCTCACCCATGTTAAAACAATACTGTTGATGAGGACTCCTTCACCTTGCGGTTCACCAGCCAAGGTCTGATCTGCAGTAAGCGTCAAGGGGTAATCTTACAGGGAAGTCATAACTGATACAGCTCTTGCGAGCCATGATCTAAGTGTGTCTCGCAACAGGGTCCCACTGAGGTCTGTTGTGTGATGCGCTTTTTGCACATGCCCTCAAGGGTGAACAAACACAGGAATCTCGTTTCTGCCGGATTAGCTGCTTGCTCGAGCTCGCCGGTTTGAGCATACTGAGACCACAAGAATGACATGCCTCATGCGTCTAAGTAGTCACTTTGTACACCCATGTCATGCCGCTAAGTATTCACTTTGCTGTGTTGTTTTCCTTCCTTCGGGTTCTCTTCGTTTTCTAGGCCTTTCTTCGTTTCTAAAGGCTTTTAGGTGTAACTGATGCTTTTTGGTCAAGGGAGCGCCGGTTTCGGCTTTCTGGTCAAGTGCCTTCGCCTGCGCGAATCCCCCCACCCGACCCCACACACACCCCTGTACCCCTTTTCTTTCTTCGGTTGCCTTCTTCGTTTGTTTGGTCTTTCCTTCAGGCTTGTTAGGTTGACTTTTGGGCCCGTTTAGTCGATGCACTCCCCTCCAATTCCCGCGCAAAAAAAGAGGGCGCGCCGTTGCGGCATTCTGTGTGTGTCAACTCCTGTCCCAAAGGATGTACAGACTTGCAGGGGGTCCAGGCAGTTGTGAGTTGGCCCTGGACCAACGAAGACGGACTCACAACTGGTGAAGCGAGAAGGGGCGCCTTCTCGTGCACCTGCAATTTTAACACACCATAAAGGGCTAATGAGCTTCCTCCGTCTCACCCATGTTAAAACAATACTGTTGATGAGGACTCCTTCACCTTGCGGTTCACCAGCCAAGGTCTAACCTGTCGTAAGCGTAAAGGGCTAATCTTACAGGGAAGTCATAACTGATACAGCTCTTGCGAGCCATGATCTAAGTGTGCGTGTGTACCTGGTTGCAATGCTCACAGAAGAACACCTGCAAACCAGGCACGACAAAGGAATGGTGAACACAGCATCCCAGCCACGGCAAGTCTTGACATTTGATGTCCTTTCCGAAGCCTTCAGCGACTGATGATTGGGGAAAAGAGTATTCAAGCGAGGTCGGCTATTGGTGCGAGGGAAATCGGAACAGCATCAAGAGCTCACAAGCAGGCAACACAAAGACAAATCTTGGACACTTCCTGGTCTGGTAAGCCTGATTTTTGTTTTTGTACTGGAATGCATCCACAAGCTATATAGTTTAACGAATGTGTGGCGTCAGCAGAAATGTTTCCACCTGGTGAAGAGGGAACAAAGCCGAACACTCTGTCCCAACAGACGGTGCTCTCCAGGCAGCTTGCCAAGTCGGGTGTGCTTTTCGGTGTGCAATGTGAACGGCTCAAGCACCAGCTGAGATACCTGAATTTTCCTCTGCGTCGAACCTCGTTTGTGCTTTTCACACCATGTTTGAGGGTCCAAGATGTGTTCTGCTCTTTGCAACAAATGGGTTGCACGCCAACTTCCAGGATCTCTCGAAAACTTGCCGTGCACTCTATTCATATATATATATATAATGCCAATATAATATCTGATAGAAGAACTCTGTTGGTCTGACTTTTCTCGAACTTATTATATACATATATATATAGTAACATCATACATCCAGTTGTCCATAGTGATTGGCCTCAAATGGAAAAGCTGATCTGGCTGACACCAAAGCTGCATGGCCCCACTGAATGATAGAGCGAATGTCGTAGATTTTGTGGCCCAGTTTTTCCAGTGCTATTTGTAGTGACTTGGCACCAGACCCAGAGAAGCCTGACGGAAATGAAATGGAGGCTGCCACGAGGGCATTCTACTCAACATCCAGAAAAAGCAATAGGAGAGCTTGAAGGTTTCTATGTATGTCCAAAGTCTTTTGCTGGATGGTCAAACAGTTCCACGAGAAGTACAGTATGGAATGAATCCATGATGAGGTTGTTCCTGACTCCATGATTAGTTGCTAGTTCTCTCCAGTCATGTCTTTGTAAGTGCCTGCAACTTGGCTGTTTCTGTCCTTCAAGTTGCCAAATCCAGCGAGATGGATTTGGAATTGTGTTCAAGCAATACTGACATTCCTTCAGCCTTCTTCACCCAATCGAAGCTTTTTGTGTGTCAATGCATATTGCGTCGACGCCATTTCACGCCTGCACCTAGGATCTCCAGCTTTCCGCTCTGCCGCTGCTCCACAAAGTCAAGCCCCAGGAAGGTAGCCATCAGCCTTCTGGAACAAAGGCTCATAGTCCAAGATTGGAGCTACTGGCGTGGACTACTGTGGGCTTGCAATTGCCCAGGCTACAGTTGCATGAAATCTCGTGCCCATTGTCAAAGAGGCACTCATTCTGGCATGGCCATGAATGGAGACATGGCGCCTGACAGATCTTCGCCAACCTTGGACAGTGAAGCTTCATTGATCTGGATAAAGCAAGGCGCTTTCATTTCATCCCAACGACGAAGCTCAGAGCCAGGCTAGTGTCTTCAGCGCACGTCCCATCCAGGAGTGATGCCAGATAGAAGGCTCTTGGAAAAGTCATGGCGGTTGAACGTCTGCCTGACGGCCTCTTCCACTTTTTGTTTTGAAGCTTGCCTGTTGATTGAGTAGTCTCATCTGGATACAAAGGGCTTTGTTCCCTGCATAACTGCTGTATATAAATATATAGAGAGAGAGAGAATGCCATGCTGTTGATCAAGTTGATCAAGAACTGTTTCAGATTGTCACTCACGCACTGCCATGAAAATGCTTACCGGTTCTCATTGCCACAGTTTGACTCTGCCATACGGCTTCGCGATACGTCACCCTGCACAAGGAAGAGGCCGCAGTGAATTATATATATATATCATCTATATATATATATACAAATCACGCGTCCGGCGTCTACAATCAGCCTTTTGTCCAGCGCAAAAGAAATTCCAACGCTCAAAGGTCAAACAAGGGATGGTGTCCCAAGCCCCTCAGCTTGAGCTGCGCCAAGTACGCAACAAACTCGCTTAGCTTTTCAAACCACCATCTGAAGTTGTGAACGGCATTCCTTGCAAGGCAACTCTGGAGCAGCTTTCCATTTGGCTTGCCAATCATCCTTGTAAAAGTCAACGAACTCTGACAAGCTGTACACCTTGCCATCTTCCGCCAAGCGCTGTTGGGTGGCTGGAGCGGCCGAATGCCATTTCTCCTCCCAAGCTCCACCGAAGTAGATGCGGAAGTGGCTTGCGGTGTAGGCCTTGCCATCCGGTGCGATCTTCATTTCCAAGACTCCATTCGCCCACTCCTTCTTGTAATCAGCGTGATAGTAGTCTTGAAACTCCTTGGCATTGTAAATGGTTCCATCCTTTGCATAGCGCCTTGCCTCTCCATTCAGGTTGGCCCGAATTGCAGAATCAGTCGCCTGATCCAATCGCTGTGTAGTGCTCCCCTGCGCTGCCTTGAAGGAGTTCAACAAGGCCACAGGATCACAACCCAGCCTCACGAAACTCTATCTATCTATCTATCTATCTATCTCTCTCTCTCTCTCTTTCAAGGAGCCTGCTTGGAGACGCAAACAAATCAAACTATATACTTGATTACTGATTACCCATAGTATCAAAACAAGGGCCCACAGAAAGCCTCTGGTAGACAAGCAATACAGACTAAAGGCTTTGGTAGACAAGTGGTATTTACTACAATATTTACTACAAAGCTTTGGTTCGCGGGACCTATTTCTGAAACATGAATTTAGAGGATGAAGAAAAACAGAGACATCTGATGCTATGCCAGCTTTGAAGCTTTCCCAGCTCAAGGCTCTTAGCTTGGGCTTCCGATTTCATGAGATTCACGCCGCTCATGGAATAGAGATTCTTGAAAAGCTCCAGCACCTGGTTGGACTCAGCATAAGCCTTCACAAGTTCAATGGTACGGGTCTGAGCATCTTTCTTGGTGAGGTCAACTCCAGACACACTGAACAAAACCTTCCACATCTCTTTCAGCTCGTTGACATCAACGTGCTGCTCGGCCAGATCAAAAATGCTGGTCTTCACCGTGTCCATAGGAAGGTCTAACAATGAGGTCTGATACATGGTATCCTTCAAATTTTTGAGGTCATTGATGCTCACGTCGCATTGAGTCAACACCGGTGCTTCCTTCACCGCTACTTGTTGAGCATCCGAAGGACTCAGATTTAGTCCATAAGCCGACTGCACCCACTGGGCTAGTTCATTCTGATCAATAGCCACTCCAAGGCTCACAAGGCTCAAAAACAGTTTCAAAGATCCCATGGCTTCACCGAACAAGTTTTGAGCTCTCAACGGCTGCCTAACCCGCGTCTCACCTCTGGCAGGATGGACTGGTCCATAACTGCTACTGTTAAGCTCTGGCTCAGAATCCATACATTGACTTGGAATGCTGCAAGTAGCTCCAATTCCAGCTGCCAAAGTGCTTTGTAAGCGACTTCTCCAAGTGACTTCTCCGACTATCCGGCCTCTTCGATGTCCTGAAATCTAGGTCTCACACAACCAGAACTGGAGATAAACAAGGTCTCACATAGCCAGTGAAATAGCATTGCCCAAGCTCGGCGATTGACTAATTTTGTCTTGGCCGCTGGTGAGTCTCTGGCCGCTGGACGGTGGCCGGTGGCCAGCTGCGGCCGGTGGGCGCTGGCTGGTGGCCGGCGCTTGGGGCGCCAGTGGCGGGTGAGTGGAGGCCGGGCTCCAGCCCACAACATATGGAAATCTGCGAGCACTAGTTTTACTGGGCCGGCCAGATAAGGCAAGGGAGAAGTTGATCGCAGCACCCGAACAACCGTTTGATTAACGCTGCATTCGCTGGAGTTGCGCTGACACCAGCACCTCCAAACCCTTTGGCTGGCGCTGACTTCGCTGGAACTGGAGCGGCTTTGAAAGGCCGGACTGGCGCACGTACCGAATAAAAGGAACAAAAGGAGAAATGCCCGGACAAACTGATTGGTAAACCGAGCGGTCAAAAATTCTTTCTGACTATGTGAAGGAGAACCGCAAGAAAATATCACACGACAACGCGCTTCTTTTCGCAAACGGCGCACACGTCTTAAGGGAATCTTGAAGGGCCGCTGCCCAAGAGGCTGAAGGATGGCCATCGAGAAGAGGGTTGAAGAGGAGGGTCCAGCGTCAGGAAACTTGTCCTGCAAGCAAAAGTTGGTTGGACAGTGGGAAGTCGAACGGCCACATGTAAGATATTGAGACAAACTCTTTTTTGGGCAGCCTGACAGCCTTCTTCAGAAGCAACAAGCTTGATCTTGAGCATCATAAACACTTGGTGAGACCCGTCCTCGTTTTCGCTTCGCTCTGACACGGTCATTGATAGCCTGCAGGCGCGCCAGGTTGCGCACATCGCGCATCTCCTGACATCCGCAGTTGGAGAACCCCCTTAGATTGGCCCTTATCAAAACCAATCCCAAGTCAAATTATTAGCTTTCCACTCTGAAGTAAAAAGCGCGCAGGGCGTCCTGAGCAACAATGTCTGTCGGAAACGTGGACAGAATGGGCTTGCTCTCGTCGAGGTCGGGAAGACAACGCTGACGACAGACATCTCCAACACGTCCAGCGGCGTGGAACCGGTCGAAGTTGAAATTGCCCATAGCTCTGCAATAGCTGAAGACTGTCGGCGCTCCTTGCGCATGAAGCGGAGGTGGCAAGCATCGTCATGGACCAGGGTCTGGAGGTTAAGGAAAATATGAGCCAAAATCGTGTGACAAACTTTCTGCGCCGGTGAGCTCACGTAAGTCTGCCGCCCGTCCTGACAGTTGCAATGATGGCAGTTTGCGAAAGTGGCTACGGCTACTCCAAGATGCAAAGTGGAACACTGAAACTTTGGACCAAAGCTGTTTTGACTCGCTCACAGCAAGGAGGTACTGTGCAGTCCGCGCGGCAGCTGCAATATGTTGCTCCGATTCTTTGTGAGTTTGACAAGAGCTGCTTGCGCGCGACTGCGCTGAACACCATGATGCCAAGACAGTTTTTGGCCCTCGCAGCTGCTTGCCTAGCCGCTTGGCTGCTCGGGGCGCCTTGCTTCTCTGTCTCTGCGCTATGTGAATGTCTGGAATGCGCAGCGGTGAGGGGAAACTTCTTGTACAAGAACTCGGGGTTAAAGGTTTGCAACAAAACAACATTAGCTTCAGGTCCTCGTCTCAATGTTCTGGCTGGCGCGTTCTGCAAAATATTTGGCCAAGGTGGCTTCCGGGATGGTGCAAGCTGACAGGAACGGTAACCAGACATTTGGACCTCGAGGAAGCAAAAATCTCCAGGACTATGCAAAGCCTTCTTCAGGCGGCGGCGCCCGATTTGCGCGCGCATTGGCTCCAGGGGTCTGTCGCGGTCTGCTGCATGTTTCCCACACAGTGTGTCCTTGGCCGACGGCTTGCAGCTACATCCTCGAAACAACAGCTTTTTGACTGCAAACGGGACTCCACATGTTCGGCGGTGAAATTTGCAATTGCCATCCACTGCCAAAATATCCTTTCTATCTCCCGAAGCTTGAAGCTGCCGAAGACGGCTGCAGGGGCACAAGCTTGTCACGCCGATGCGAAAGCAACGGCTATCAAATGAGGCCTTAAACACGTGGAAGTTGAAGAGCGGTGATGGCGCATTCTGATCGCTCACTAATTTGCATTTTTTGTTTCAGCTTGCCCACAGCACCTCTGAAACATACGCGGCTCGCACCAAGTCCAACAGCTCTCAACAAGCTTCTCCAGCGGCAAGGCCAAGATCTTTTTGGCCAGCTCTTCCTGCACAGCTCCACCAATTTCTCGCGCCCTCCGCCACAAAATTTCTCGCGCCCAAACAGCGGACAAGTTCTGACAGACTTTCACCTGAACACATGGGTCAAGCGAGCGGAGAAGAACTCCCTCGCCAAGGAAGAGGCCCTGTGGAGGAACAACCGATAGCGCCAGCGTCTCGGCCACCTGCGCGCAACTCCCCAACCGACTCTTGTTCAAGAGGGAGTTATCGGCGCGAGGCTCGTCTAGGGTCTTGATGAGGATCCTACGCCCATGAGTCTTGGATTGCTTTTCCAGAAACCCACACCAATACCGCACGGGGTCGCGAAACACGACGAGCTTGCAAGGTCTTTGGCACTGCAATAATTTGACAGCTCACTATACCTCTCTGCCTCTTACCTTCCCTTCTAGATGTATTCACGCGCAGCTGCCCCACCATAAGGGCAATGAGTGCAGTTCAAAGAAAGCAGCAAGAATGACTTTCGCCCGGCCATAGTCCAGGCAGTCCATATGGGCTGACTACTGCGCATGCGTTATCACTGGCTTGAGACGAAAAAGGAAAAGCAGAAGACGTGTCAAGTGCCACAGGAAAGAGATCGAAGCACCCCGACCTTTTTCAGATTAGCGCCGGAACAATGACCCAAGACCCAAGACCTTCCCGCCGCCAGTTCTGGCCTGCCCCTGCGACGGTCTGGAATCATTGATGTCAACGATGTCGGCGCTGCGAGCAAGTTTGAGGTTGCTTTGGCCACTCAAGAGAACTTTGTGCGCCAAAAGCCGGTCTGGGAAAGTATAGCCTCCCTGAAGATCATGGCGTTGTCTTTGCCGAGCCCTGTTTTTGAAAAGGTCAGACTGGAGCTGACTAAAAGTCAAAGGCGCTGCTTCAGACGCCAATGTCCTCGTCTGCAAGCTCATGATCCGTGTTGGGGATGGCGGGAGTTGAGTGGCGACTGGCTCGCCAAAAGGACCGGAAATTTGGACTGGCTTACTAATGTCTGCGAGGAAGGCAAAGGCCCACGGAACTGCGCGCGGATCTGCAAGTTCAATTCAACTAAATGACTGGCCACCTGCTGCTGGGTTGAGACGGATTCAAAAAAACCGCAGCAAAGTTAACCAAAACATTGAAAAAGGGTCAGGCCTCGCCTCGACTCTCGACGTGTTTGGCGTTGGCGGTCACGAGCAAATTGTCAGCCGCGTCGAAGCTGCCTTCGCCACTGGCCAAGGCCAAGACTGCGACCGCAGCAGACATCTGGCCATGGTGAGCAGCTGCAGCGGAGTGAAGTGCTTGTTTGGAAGGATCCGAAGTCTCCGCGCGAACACTTTGAGCTACTTGATTCCCTGGCTGGAAACAATAAACAGTGATAGAGACCACAAGACATGTTTTCGTTTTACTCTACTCTTCGGTAAAATGCCTATGGACACGAACCTGTGTAAATGCACCCTGTGCGCAGGGTCAGCTGCGGGGACAATGCGCAAAAAGTTGTCGCAGCTGGGGCCCAAGGAAACCCCGCGAACCCAAAAGCATTTTGCGCGCGTTGTCTTCCATAGCCAGCACGGAATGGCGCCGGGAGCGGGAAAAGTCCGTCACCCGCTTCCTGCTTGTATGTGCTCAGTGGGGTCTTGCGTGCGCCAGAAATGCGCAATTCCGTTTGCAAGGATGTCAGTTCTCCTCAAAGCAGGGGAATGGAAAGAATGTAGGAAGCTTATGAATGGCACCACGAACAAGAACAAAAGTAAACAAATACGCCACCACACCTCCAGCTGCGGGCACAAATCAAACACGAGAAGGAACGCCATCAGGCAACATCACGGGGAAGCCTTCCTCGCCAGTTTCCTCATCAGCTCCGCTGACCGTGTCCTTGACATAGCCCGGGTTCCCCATCCAAAAATGGCGGCTTGAAGAGGCGTGAGCGGAAGCCAAGTCCACTTCGGCAAGTCAGGGTCTGAGTCTAACATGCTCTGGGGAAGGGCATCACGCCGAGCAACACTATCGTCGACGCAGAGCAAAAAACCTTTCTTTCGTCGCAGCAGCGCGCTGGCCGCGCTCCATGGCTATGATCTTGGAAGGGTGGGCGTTGGCCTTGGCCAAGATGCTGAGACTGATGCGCTGCGAACGGTTCCCTTCATACGTGGTGGAGGTTCTTGTGGTCCTCTTTGTCTGTCCCCGTTGGATCAACGGGTTCAAAGTGGACGCGTGCAGGTTGACTGCTGCAGCACGACTCCCCAGGACAGCCCAAAAGGCTCAAGCTCTCTAACATTAGGCCCCATCTTGACAAACCACAGCCGGATGGAGTCTTTGTCTTTCTTCCCTCCATATTCAATCTGAAGAAACTCTGCGCTGCAACGGAAGAAGAATTCAGACATTGTCACACTCTGAACACTGATTGATGGCTGTCAAGGTCTTGCCGCGCTGACCAGCCAAATCCTTGACACAGAGGTCGGCTTCTTCCTTCGTACACGCGCCGTGGGCAAAACCCATCCAACTTACAAAGGGCAGACACTAGCAATAACGTTGCCCCAAAACTTTGATGGCTACTAGCTGGGCAGGACAAGAAGCAAAAAGCA